GAAGTCTTAAATTACTGCAGTCTCAGACTTTTGGACTTGTATGAGCAGTTAAATGTTACACGCCTCTTTTAGCCGTGTGTGTATAACATCCCATGGATACATAAAGTATATCTGGCTTCTTAATTAACCCCCACAATTTTGAAAACCCTCTGGAGATGTGTTGTAAAGGTCTCATTGACTGAGTACACTTCCAGTTGTTAAAACACAGACCCGTTTTGGCAAATGAACTCTCTCCATCCTCCCCGGTGTAAAGCCGGGTCTCAGCTTTCAGGGGTTACGCTCACTTTGAAAACATCAGACTCTCTGTCAGCGGCAGCTGACAGGGAAAGAAACAGAACATCTCTGGTGTGTCTTCCTCTTGTCTATTTACTTTTTCTTTTGTATCTTCAACACCGGAGGGGTGATGAGAATGAAAATGAGAATGAGAGAAAGGGATGGTATGGTTTCTAGGCAAGATGTGTTTTTCACATGTTCACATCAAATGCACATGGAAAACTACAGCAACTCAAGGGATTGTGGGAAACCCTCCAGTCTGTACAGCAGAAGACAACTTGCAGTTGTATACACAGTGTTTCTGCCAGTTGTGCATTTGATGAAAACGCAGACTTTTTCAGTACAGTGGGGATATTTCACAAATGAAACATTCTCCACTCAGAGATGATAATTTTTTTTGCTGCCTCTACATGACATTTGTCCTGTAATAAAGGAGGGGAATCTTGTAGAGAACCAGCCTAGAAAATCCACAATGGAATCAAATCAATAGGTGATATTGAAAAGGAATTGAATCAGTAGGGCTGTCCATAAGGATTTTAATAAAAAGGTGATTTTAGTACAAAATCAAATAGATCTGAACTGAATAAATAAGTGATATCAATAAAGAATTAAATTGAAAATGGATAATGGCAGTCTTTTTATCACTTCTTGTAACCACCTTTATTAGAATAATATAGTATTAAGTATATATATGATAAGACGTGTGATCATGTACCTTTGTCTCACATGTTGTTATGAGTAGAGGAGAACTCCGTCCTCTGTGGAGGACTCAGAGACTGTCTTTCATATTAATAGATAAACCTTTAGATGTGAGTCTTCGCCCACTGAGTCCTTCTTAGCTGCGAGCCAGACAGTGTGTTGAATTTGATAATACCCTGGTGAGTGACAGCAATCTCTCCTCAGACGTCGTACCTGCGTTCAATGCTGCAATGCAGCCGTCGTGTCGTGCACCTCGGTCTCAGCCCTCACGCCCACCATCCCTCTCTAACAAAAAGTGCTGAAAACATTATGTTTCATTTGGTTAGCGGGAGGCTTTCTGTATATACATGTTAAAGTTATTAACATATTTTAATTGATTTCCATAATGAGAATAACACTTGATACTGTGAGGTGTTGAATATCTGCACTTTTGTTTTAGAGATTGTTCCACGTGACACAGAGCAGCCAATTATCCTGGAAACTGCATTCATCAAAAGTCTGTTGTATTCTCCTCCAGGGTGAAAGTCTTTGTCTCCATCATTGCTGCTGTTACTTCCACCATGAAGTTACATAAGTAGTCAGTCTGCTCTGAGTGATACCTGGACATTTCTAAATGTTTTTGTTTGTTTAAGAGGGTATTTACTTGAAAACACACTTATATTTCCTGCTATTTTCTGTGCTTACCACCAGTTTTCTCTTTTTTTTTTTACTGATTTAAATCATTAACTTTACACACATTTCTATACATGTGTTTTTTATATATATATATTTTTTTTTTTTTTCCAGAAACAGACAGTTGTTGTACTGTTTCTACCTGTTACTTCCAGTGGTCATTATAAACACACAACAGCAGCACAGAGCGTTGTTCTTTAGTTCAGTTGTCTCTCCTCTTTTCCTGTTGCTTTTGTCAGCAGTTGTGTTGATGGTTTCGTTACAATGCCTGGCCCCAGGGCAGAGTTGATCCAGTGGCAGATAATTAGAGGGGTTCAATTGACACTTGTTTACTGTCAACCCCAAACTTGTGTGTGTGTGTGTGTGTGTTACAGGTGGCCGCCCAGTAGGTGGTAAAATGCAGGAAGTCTGCTTGTCTATGTGCACATGTATCAGACGCAGCATGTTTTTCCCTTTCAGAGGCGAGGTATCCTGTATGTGTGTGTGAGAGAGAGAATGAGAGTGTGTGTGTGTGTATGTGTGAGTCTCACCGATCACATTTGGCGGCTGACTTCCAGGAACCCTTGCAGCAAAAACAGGCACTGTGTGTTTCCTGCTCTAACGCGCCGTTATCACAGGACACACACACACACACACTCCCAAACACACACACAGACACACACACACACACGGATCGTTGCCCTATTCTCTTTTCCCTTGCAGGTTTCCTCAACGCTTATCCTCATGCCTCCGGCCGTCAAGATGTTTCGCTGTGATTGTCATGAAAGAGCCAGGTCTCTGAGAACAAACCAGAGGACACAAATAGGTGGAGAGTGACGGCATGTCCACAGTTCTCAACACATTAGATTGTCCAGAGTGTGTGACCACAGCACCTGTGGACCTTCACTGTCCTTCTCATGCACATTCTGACCTGTTCTTACTGCAACATCTTCTGATGAGTTTGTTCTTGCCAGAATTTTCTGGTTATGGATCTTTATTCTCATCTCTTATCTCATCATATCTTGCCTTCTCACATGGCCAACTATACAACTGACACAAACATTGAATTTTGAACATGGACATGGAGCACCCTTGCTCTATACTCCAGGCCACCACTGAGCCACAGTAGATGACAACAGGGAAGGACACAGTGAAAGACAAAGAAAAATTCAAAGTGGTGCTGTTGCAAAGTAAAGGCATCACCAGTTATTAAGGACCTAGTTAATAGGGAGGTCCCTTAAGGACAGCGTCTCAAAGTGTAGCCACCAACTATGTCCTCATGTGTTTAGGGTTTGGACAGCGGCTGAGACTGGTTATGGACTTGGGCCAAAATGACCAAGGGAAAAATCTGAACGTGACTGTTGGTCCAAACATGTGGTTTATTCTGTTTTTCCAACCACACTGATGTATGGAATGATCTACTTCATGTTGTTACAGTTCATCAGCTCTACGTCATCAAAGTAGGATGAGGAAACAAATACATAGGAGCACATCAAGTAAAGATGTTTTATGGGATGTTGTGAACAGGCTATGGTGCATGACCTGTTCAGCCAGGCAGTTCAAGTGGACCAATTGTTATCACCAAGTTGTAAACTTAGCTTCTGTTCTGTGCATTTCGCTGGTTCTGCAGGCAAAATGATTTCCAGATGGTCCAGAGAAAGTGTTTGCTTTTGGTGACTGCAGGCCAGCAGTACTCAGCTGAGGGTGTGAGTGTCTGTGTGTCTTTGTGTGTACAGACCCACACATGCAATAGCCAAGCAGCTCCTGCAGCACCGACCTGGCTACTTCCTGTCTATGACACTTCACTGCTGTCTGTCCGGAAACTTACCTCTTCAAAGTCAGGTTCTTAAACCACTGGGACACTCCACTGGATCCCAACTCACACACAACAACTTTTTTAGTTCTTTGAAGCTGACTGGGCATCAGGGAGGGGGAGGTCTGTTCTGGAAATGTTTTGATTGTTACGCCTGTCGGTCCAGGATAAAAACCTCTGAATTGAAGTTAAACTCTCCTAGTATGAACAATATCGTAGGATATTTTTAAGAAAGAAAAATCCAAGTCAAATTGACTTTTTCCATTTATGGTCTGTTTTTATGAAATTCCCTCAAAATGTTTTCCTAAGTGTTGGCCAAGTTTCCATAAAATGCTGTACAATTTGTTTAAATAGAAAACTATCCAAAAGAACAGATCCATAACTTAAAGCCTGAATATGACATATAAGTATGATGTTTGTCCTTCCTCCTCATTGGTTCACACAGATCCCATGTCTTCAAACCTCTGAGTTTCTCGCTCCTGCGCTCTGTAACGCTTTGTTTTTCGTCCATATGCCACAGCGCTTCCACACTGGCGGCTGTTGGCCGTTTCCCACGTGAAACCAGTGATTATCAGTGTTATTTTTAATCTGCACACATTCCACAACCAAGGCAAGAGTTATTCTTCACCAGAGTGCTTATTTTAGCACAACCCCCACTGTTCCCTAAAACCTTACCAAGTCATTTTGTCACCATAACACAACCAAACTTCAACCATAACCAGGGTTAATTGTTCCAAGTTTCAATCATGGCAACGAAAAGGCAGCTATTTCTGCTCTTTGTTGTACAAGGGCTGTAATTCTGACAGATACTCTGTGACATTTAAGTGTTACTCTGGATCGTTCAAGACCGAGTGGCTTAAAAACATGTTTTAATTAGAGTGTGCAGCCACAACCAACCATGCTTTACAGTCTATTTACCTCACAATGGGATCAACCTTAACAAGGCTGACATTGTGCTTTTATAAAGAGGACCTAACACAGTAGTATAGTTATAAATCCCAGTGGTAAAATATGTACTGCATTTTCTGTCACAATTATTATTCTCATCATCTACCTTTTTTTTCCACGTAATTTTCTACTATTGATACACTGTTTAGCTCAGAGAATTGCAGTTTTATTCCTCTGTCATTTACACATGGTAGATATTAAAGCTGACTTTGACATGTTTAATTTCACTTTAATTGCAGAATTCCTTCTTGAAAATTGTGAGTTACATAAAAGAAAAACCCTGTGATAAACAAAATACTGCCACAGATCACTGTAGACGTTTCTTTTTTGGACTTGATTTGACTAATCACATAAAACATCAGTTTGTTTTTGCTTTTGCAATTTTAAAAAAAATGAAATCTCTTATTGATGGTGTAAATAGTAGCTTATATCTGTTTTTGGACATGTTTGTTTGTTTTTTTTTTCATTTTGTCAATACATGTTGGCATGTACTTTGTGTTTTTTGCACCCTTGGGTCTAATCTCCCTGAGAGCCCATGGTGTGAAAACTCACCCGGAGCCTCTGAGTCACACTTCGACTTGACCTGACCCTGCTTTTTTCTCTCAACCTGTTTTAGGACACAGATGCTGGCTGCTGCTCAGTCGCCTCCTCCGTCTCCTCGTCCTCCACCTCCTCCTCCTCCTCTTGGTCCACAGTCCCGCCCACCGCCACCTGGCTCTGCTGCGCACCGCCGACTGGAGGCAGATCGCTGCTACTCCTCTTCCCCACGTCAGCGAAGACGCAGAGAACACAGAGCCTCCACACCGAGGGTGTCTGTGTGGCATTTAAAAAAAAATCACATTTCAAATCCGTTTCTACAACCGAGAGCCACTCGACTTGTGAAAGATCCAGGAGAAAGACGAGTATCAAGAAGAATCAGTGGGATCTGCATCCCTGCTCTCCTCTCCACCTCGCTCTCACTCCTCTCTCCTCCTGATCAGCCTCTGCGCTTCTCACCACACTCCGGGCTCTTCCATCCTGCGTAAACCCAGCGACTGATCGTTGACTCCCGACTGTGAGCTGTCTGCGCTTTTTTATCCTCTTCAACCGGAGTTTGACCCGTATTTCCGAACAGCTGGTGCTGTGCAGACCCAGCAGCCGAGAGCTGGACGGACTCTGAGCCGGGTTTGCTCATCTCTTCAGGCGGATCATCGAGGGGACCTTGTGCGTAATCGGAGAGACTGGAAATTATTTAGCCCTCGCACATCAACGAACCGCATGGTGGGAATTTCTGCCTCTTTTCAGTGTAAGTACTGCTTTATTTTATTATTATTACAGTTATTATTTTTAAATTCAGATCGTGATTTTTCCGTCTCCCAGCCGCATGTGTGTCCCGATGCGGCAAAATCACGAAAAACAGAAATGATGAAATAGCTGTTGACCCGGGACGGGATTTTTATTATTGCTTTGTTGTGGATGTTTGGATGTAAAGTAGACTTTTAGAGTGTGTATGGTGTTGAACAGCGAAAATGAGGGACCAAAAATCGAATTAATTTAATTTAAATTTTCATTTTAAAAAAGTGCAACATTTAAAAACATTTTACACACACACACATATATATATATAATTATAAATGTATATATATTTGTTTATATGACATATCTCAAAGGGAAAAACCTTATCTGCCAAACATGACTGTATGGCGTCATGTTTTGAACAGTTTTTACCTCATTAAATTAACCATTTAATTGTAACAACGAATCACAGAAGGTGCTTTAAATTCAAGCGCACTTCAGTGTCTCAATATTTAAACCCATGTTTGTAAACCTTGGCACCAGTGACCTGCAGCTCAGATGGTTGAAATAGAGGCATCAGCCAGCAGCTGTCCCTGCTGTGCAACATTAAGAGCAGATATTAATTCATGAGCTCTCACAGCCAGAATGCAGTGTCTTTCTCAGGCTCTCCTTGATGTCCACAAGTTTGATGATGCCCTGTAAATCTGTCAGGGAGGCTGTGCAGGAGGTGCAGAGGCAGCCTTCACCTGAGCTGTGGAGAATGAGAATGACACGGGGGCTTTTCAGTGTCTGAGAGAAGGGGATGAAAAACAACAAGAAAGTATCCTAGTTTAAGGAGAAATAATATTTTGTTGTAGATAATACTTCTTAGCAGCTGGTTATAAAAAGGTGTGTTTTTTTTAAACTAATTTTATTCATCTTTGGTAGTCTTGAGCTCTCCTCTTTTCTATTCTTCCCTTGACTCCTCTTTCCTTTTCTCATCTTCTCCTCCACCCCCTCTTCAGTGTCTTAAACAATTCAGGGTGAAAGAAAGCAAAAGCCCTTTTGCATTTTTATAAACCTCCTTCAAACTCTTTCACAACTGTCAAACCCATCTCCTCTGATCCATTTAAAGTTTCCATCTCTTCCCGCCGCTACTGTCATCATAGCATAAGTGTCAGCTAAAAAATAAAGGCAGAAGGAAAGCTGCTTCCGTTTTTAATGGAGTGGCATGGGGTGGAAATTAAAGGCTTTGGGCTATATTTTTGCTTTAGTGGGATTGCCCCCCCAACTGGGAAAAGAGCAGACATGTGGGTTAGGCAGGGAGGCTGCTGGGACACAATCCTGTCCATGTTCTCTGTGAACTGTTCTCACGGTTTGGATTAGAGGAGATGGAAAATATCTCCTGGAAACATGTAGAGCTCTGGACATTTTTTTATTCATGCCAAATTGTCCTATGCCAAGCTTTGTAGACACCCAGGAAGGTGATTGTTAACTTTTCTCATTGAGGTTTGACCCACGACTGATGCAGTCTGTACTAGGGTTAAATACTGAAGAAGCGAGGAATGTGGACAGAGAGATGGAACAGATTTATTTCAGTCTCATTATTCCCTCGCAAAAATATATACAAAAAAAAAAAAGACGTAAAAGTTAAATTTACATGGTGAGGACAAAATATAGAAAGTAAAAATAAAATGTGTAGAATGTTGACATTACTATATTCCATTTAGTTTTGGCTAATACAAGTCTGAGAGCCCATTGTTTAGTAGAGCCTGACTCAACCATCACCATTGTGGATTACTTGGTAGTGGGCTGCACATAAAAAAAGGTTGATTTTTTTTTTTTTTTTTTTAGTCTGAATGATATTTTATTTTGGAAAACAATCACTTCAGTTATTGCAGCAGTGCTTGTCTCAGTTGCAGTTTTTCTCATGCTTTGTTAAGCCCCAAAACTAACTTCAGCAGAAACCCGTAAAAAACAAAGGTGGATGTGGACTTTCTTTAAGGAGGGAATGTTCTAATGATGAGTCAGCAGAAGGCTTTAAAACTGCCACCAAAACGAAAAGATCAATAGTCCCTAAAGTGAAAGTGCAATATAAAATAATTATTATATTTATTTAACTGATTAAAATAACATGCTCTATTGCTGGTAAGCTTCCGGTCAATAGAGAAATTCCCCTGTGTGAAACTGGTCCATGCTATAAAAAGGGTTGGGCACCACTGCTTTAGCCACCATATAGAAATATAATAGGGTTTTATTTCTATCTGTGTTAAAGGGGCTTCATTTATTATGATTTGAAAACAGTGGTCAAACTATTCAAATTGTTTCCCTGGCCATCATTTATGTTGTCGTTGGTTGTTTTTCTCTGTTCTTTAACCACTGGGACTTCCATTGAAGTAGTACCTCGACTCAAAAGACCATTACCTGGAGTGTGTGTGTTCACAGAGATAAAGAGGGAGGCAGGGACACACAGAGAGACGGAGTAAATGTAAGGTAAACAAAGAGAAAATGATAAGTGCTGTTTGCAGGTCGTCATTTTGTGTGTGTGTGTGTGTGTGTCCGTGCACGCCTGTGCACATGCTGCAAAAATAGGCTTAACGTTAGCTGCTAACTGCGGTGCAGGGTCTGTAGAATCAGCCAGCTCTTCCAAAGACCATCTGCCCATCCACTGGGCCTCACACCTGTCCCCCACCTCAGTGCACCGAGGGCTACAAGGTTAACTGCATCAGACTGCCGCTCACATGGCCTGTGGACATGGCCTCGGAAAATGATTGCAGCCATTTTACTGTCACTACATGTGTTGACAGAACGTGCAGGAGGTGTGATGTAGTTTATTGTATGGTTTTAAGGCCACAGAAAATAGTTCTAAATAGTTCTTCTATTCTTCTATTTTCGTATTTTAGACATTAGATATTTTCATTGGTATTTCTGGAATAAATGTCCCTCGGTTTTTTATTAAATGTTAATTCTTCCTTTGACTTGGCCCCTTTCTTAATCTGATGATGTGGTTTAATCTTTAAATTATGACACACTGTGTCCAAATGACACACAGTCCAGGTTTGGAGTACTGTATGATGAAGTGCTGATGACTCAGCTGTCTTTATAGTGGCGTTCCAAGTTTCCTTATTAAATTAAACATTTCTTTATTAGATAAAAAATGTATTTCACTTTTCGAGGCTAATACGATGGGTCGCTGGAATTTAATATGGAATTAGTCAACAAATACTGTCACAAGCTGTAGTTAAGCTCTCATTTAGATATGAATGTGAAGTGTTTGGATTTGGACTCATTCATATTTAATGAGTAGAAATGATCTGAGTCTGTACGTTTTCTCAATGTATGATGAATTAAATCAGTGATCGATTAAAACCAGGATAAGTAAGAGATGTTACACAGTACAACAGTGGTAGAATTGGTTGTTGTCCACTTCTGCTGAACTGTAATGTAAATGAGAAGATGAAGGCAGTGTTGGTTTTGTTTTGAAGGCGATCCCTCAGAGGCTGTAGAACCTGATACTAAAACCACTGTTCAGTGCACTCCTTCAAGATGTATAGATTTGTTCTGATTATTCACAGTCGTCTGTTACCAAGTCCCAGAGTGAATTATGGGAGGAATTGCAGTGTGCACGAGCCTGCACGCACATGTTGTTGTTGATCGATTGTCTCATTGATGGTTATCATCGAGAGGGCAGTTCTCTTCACTGCTTATTGAATTTCATTGCCCATGAAAGAGCAGCCGTGGCATAAAAAGACTCACAGGTATGTGTGTGTCTGCGTGCGCACGCGTATGCGAGTGTGTGGAGAGCGGTGCTCACAAAAGCGAGAAGGGCTTTGCTTGATTGTAGCTGTGAGTTGGCCTTTACAGAGACTTATTTAATGTCAGAGTCAGCAGTGAGCACTACAAACCCATTTTATTGGCCTTTTTGTGTTTTTACTCCAGATAACATGAGACTTATAGGCCAACTGAGGCAGAGGCCAACGGGGCACAGTCAGACAATTCATCACCTTTCATGGACACGGTAAATTCTTCACAGGTTTTTACGCTTCAGGACATTTAGCAACTGGGAGATGACGTCGATAGTAATTCAGATTCCAAATGTCAACAAGTCCAACTTCGTTGTCCTTTATTTCCCCGTGTTTCAGGTGAAAAGAAAAATGAACAGATGAGGTGAAAGTCTACTTGTGACTTTGGACATTCTGTTTAATTAGCAGTACTTTCCTGCATGGTAACGTTTCAGTACAAATGCTGTGGATTGCATGTTGAAGACCTGGTCCGTCTGGACAATGTTGCAGTTTTGCTAATACGTACAGATGAATGTGTCCATTTCTTGTATGCAGTCTATGGCTCCAACACACTGACAGACCTGTGGAGATAACACGCACTCTGACCCTCCTCGTCCTCTGTATATAGACTGGAACAGAGTTGCTAATTAACACCTTTTTTTAAACTCTATTACACACAGGACCATTGCCACACAAACACACACACACATATCCACACATACAGAATCACTCTAGGCTTCTTCTGGTGATGTCTGTTCCCTCGCTCACTCTTTCTCCCACTGTTTATTTTCCTGCCTCCATCTGGAGTGGGCTGATATTGTAATCGCCCTAATGCACATTGCCTTTCCCTCACACACACACACACACACACACACACACAATGTGCCCTCCTGACAAGCCTCCTTTCTTATTCCAAAAGATAAGCCACTGGATGTGATTCTCTGACTGTGTGAGTGCAGATGCAGGTGTCTGTACACTGTGTCCTATAAGATACAAAAGGACACACAACACACAACAGTGTGTTTTCTCCTTATGCACTGCTGCGTAGGTGACTATATTGAACAGCTTCACCTAAGTGATGTGGTCTGAGGATGGAGTAGTGAAGTGAAGATGTTTGGCCAGGTCGTCGATATTCAAACTTAAATCTAAGCTTTTCACTTTTACTAGTGACGGTGGGAGGGAAATGAATTTGGTTGAGGCGCAGGAAGTTTGCAGTGTGTGTTTGCATGCTGTATGTTGAGGCGCAAAT